ACACAATTGATGATTCCTATTCCATTATATGGGATTGAGTTGTAAACTGATGTGAAGTGTCGTGTTTTAGAAGTCCATGTGTGATTAAATATAATCTACTCTAAAGGTAATATATCACATCGTTATAATTACATCAATTATATGGCAAAGTGATCTATCCCGTCGTAGTTGTTTTCAAAATTAGTCGAAATGAAAAGTAATTTGTCCAATATGCTCGACTTATAGTAATTTTTCATTAACGGATATTGGCTGTGACTACACATATCTTTTACAATTAATATGGTCAAAGTAATTGTCTGTATCAATTGAGTAAATGACATGTCTAATGAGCACGCGGTGTTTCTTTGATAGAACTAACTGACTTAATATTTTTTTCTTTATTCTAGAAGCTCTGATTCGTCACATCAATACCTTGGCGCTTTCAATCAGATTGCAATTATCCCAAGAGTCAGATCACGTGACGGAAATCTTGTGGTCGTGTGAATTCGTCCGCATTAATCTAAGTACGTTAAATTGACGCAACTAACACGAAACGTACGATGTTCCAACGAGAGTTACTGCTATTTTGCGTTCAGCATTAATGCTGGGAACCGTAGTTGGCTTTGGGACAGAATGAATCGACCTAAGCAAATGTATATGTATGTACTGTGGTATGATATCCTCGGGGGCGGAGCTAGGTCATAGACGTTCCACGTTGCTAAAACGCGCACCACTGTACATGCATTTGTATGGGCTCTGTGCACGCTGCTGTGGAACGACGGTCGAGCCGGTGAAAATTCGAGAAAACAACGCAAACTCAACTTCGAAGTAATCCTGAACAACCAAATTTATATATGTTACACACGTAGAGCTAATCTTGTTACACTGCTTAGGGGAGTCTCAACAACCATTCCAAAGTACCGTTTTCTGCGAATTGTTGGTCTTCGTTTTCACCGCGATGGTTGCCAGGCGGTGAAAATGCCCGGATGTCCGCCCCCGAGGATAAGCGATAATATTAATATTTTCATTTTCGAACAGCGCCATCTACCGTCGACACTGCAGTGTAGCACGGCCATACAATATATACAAGTACATTACGCTTTTTAAGATGAGTATTTCATTGCAATAGCGATTTAATATTCAAAGTATTTAATATTTTTATGAATTTGATTCACATAAAACATGTTAAATTGTAACAGTTTGATATAAATTTTCTAAAATCACAAACAATATTTCGTAGGCTTGTGTAAAAATGGGTATGTAATGTATTTACTATTTTTACTCTTCGTGCATCTTTTGTTTTGGGCTCAGTTTGTGTGTCTTGTTAAGGCCTCAAGTAGAACATGTTAATCCGCACGTCTTAATAGGGAAGTGCTTCTCATATGACATATAAAATACAATAGACAGGAAGTCTATAACTATTGTTACCGGCATGGTTTTTCTTTTAAATTCACAGTTATAGATAACGGAACATGTATAAAATATATACTTACAAATGTCATCTTCATTGTGAAATAAAAGTTGGGAAATAAGTAACCTCGATAAAATACTCGGACCTCATACATTTTTAGGTTTATACCTAATACGACTTGGTTGGGTCGACATCAAGAACAATCGGAAATCAACAAGGCGTTGTTATTAAAATCTGTATCTTACAGTAGTGAAAGCAACTATTTAGGTGAGTTGAGTATGTATTTCATAAATTCCGTTTAATACAATATATATCATACATTTATATTATATAATATATATTACATTTAAACAGCAATTACAAGTGTAACAAATATTCATCAGATGAATGGCAACAACCAAAGTCGCCTTTCTCAAGTCCACAGAAAAAAAATCAACTGGGGATTCTAAATTATTAACAAAATGGCTGAAAAACGCAACTCCTCGCTTTATTCACAAAATGAAACGATAGGTGGCGCTATTCACTGGTCACCGCAGATTTGGATAATATTCGCTACCAGAGCAAAATTCTCAGCAAACAACATTATGTCATTAAAACATTATAAGTATTAGTATGTTTAATTATCTCAATTACGCGTTTCATTATATATGAATATGATTACGGGCACAACTGCGCATGGGCTCTAAATTAACGGTACGTACAGTAAATTCAAAGTATATTTACAGAATGTGTGTTGGCTGCATAAACATGTTTATACCTTGGAATTGGGACATGTCTGTACCTGACATTGAAGTACATTCACTTTATATCCTTCAGTTCTACGCGAGTACTGATTATCGTGTTTCATATTGTTCATGTCTTGAAGGTCATAATATTCAAGATACTGGTATTTGGTAAGTATTCAACGTGTGGTGGCGCTATTATACCCAGTTATGGACTGTTATTCCTCAGCTCCTGAGAGCGAGATTATTTGTAGATATGTT